TGCTCTGGCAGCTTTCATGGCTGGGATAAATTCATTTGTGTGTAAGGCGCGTGTGTGCATGCGCGCGTATGTGTGTGTGTGTGTGAGTGTGTTTGTGTGCAGAGCGTACCCTAGCCACTCAACTTACTGTTGAGAGTTAGAATAGTAGAATATGGTTGTGCATTAGCAGTTTTTCAATTTTTATGTCAGTCACTGTCACTGACAATCACTCAATTAGCCCATGTCAGCAAAAACATTGATTGGTATGTTAGTCCAGCCAGCTATCTAAACTTGTAGTAATCTTGGTCGAATTACCGACCAGGCACGCAGGGCACGTGCCCAGAGGCCCTGACCTCCAGGGGGCCCTCATTGATTTTATTAGTCACTCTCACTCAGATATCATATTAATATGGCATAAGTCAGGGCAATTATTTTTTTAATTTCAGTAAATTAGCTTCAAAACTGCAAATAATTTATCTTCACCCTATGGAAAATGTGCAGAATTGCAGGAAATTAGCTATAGAACTAAACATTATTTTCTCCACCACATGGCAAACGAGTAGAATTGCATTAAATAAGTTATACAACTGCAAACTCTTCTCTCTGCCAACATGGGAAAATGTGTAGAATTGCAGTAAACTTGCTTTAAAACTGCATCATTTTCTCTACGCCCCATGGCAAAACGTGTAGAATTCTGTTTTTCTCTCTGCCGTCAAAATGTTGCTTAGGCCCCCAACAAGCTAGGGCCGGCTGTGTGTGTGTGTGTGTGTTCAGTCAGAGGATGCTGTCTGAGGTGACAATGTGGTTGATTGATTACAGTGGACAGTAATCCTGCCTGGAGATTATCCAGGTGGTATTAGGGCAACTGAGAGTGTGGCACAAGCTATTCCTGAACTGGGAGAATATAGTCGAACAGGAGATCTCACTGTCTGTACATACAACATACGTACAAGACCCAATGACACTCACTACACATTTTCTAAGCAGGAAGCAGAAGATAACGTCATTGACCAATGTCCATAAGCAATGGAAATATGTTTACTGCTTATGCCAATACATCCACTAGAGACATATACACACAGTGGGTTTTGTAGTAGATCTTTCAAAAGCTTTAAATACTGTTAATCATTAAATATTGCTAAAAAAATTCACATTCATGGATTACAGGATACAGAACTTGAATGGTTTAGGAGCTACTCATCTGCCAGAAACCAACTATTTTCATTGAACAGCACAGAGTCTAAGTACATTAATGTACCTTGTGGAGTTCCGCAGGGTTCTATTCTTGGTCCTTTACTCTTCTTGATGTATGTAAATGACTAATGACACCAGTATTTTTCTAGCAGATAAAGATACCCAAAAACGTAGAGTCAAAATGAACTTGATAGACAACTGGTTCAAAGCAAATAAATTGTCAAAAATGCGCCTATGTGATTTTCTTACCTAAAAATAAGATAAAATAAACATTTCCATGACGGAATCTGCATGTCCAATATGCCGTGTACAATCTTCCAAGTTCCTAGGAATCCACAACTGGAAAGATCACATATAATTTGTCTCTAATAAAATTGTGAAGGGTATTGGTGTCATCAGAATAATTCAGCATCTCATCTCCAGGACAGTATACTCATTCATCTCCTAATGCAATTTAGTCTGGGCCTTGAACAAAAGTAGCCTAACCTCAACAATACTTAAAAATGTACAGTGGCTTGCGAAAGTATTCACCCCCCCCTTGGCATTTTTCCTATTTTGTTGCCTTACAACCTGGAATTAAAATAGATTTTTTGGGGGTTTGTATCATTTCATTTACACAACAAGCCTACCACTTTGAAGATGCAAAATATATTTTATTGTGAAACAAACAAGAAATAAGACAAAACAACAGAAAACTTGAGTGTGCATACCTATTCACCCCCCCCAAAGTGAATACTTTGTAGAGCCACCTTTTGCAGCAATTACAGCTGCAAGTCTCTTGGGGTATGTCTCTATAAGCTTGGCCCATCTAGCCACTGGGATTTTTGTCCATTCTTCAAGGCAAAACTGCTCCAGCTCCTTCAAGTTGGATGGGTTCCGCTGCTGTACAGCAATCTTTAAGTCATACCACAGATTCTCAATTGGATTGAGGTCTGGGCTTTGACTAGGCCATTCCAAGACATTTAAATGTTTCCCCTTAAACCACTCAAGTGTTGCCTTAGCAGTATGCTTAGGGCCATTTTCCTGCTGGAAGGTGAACCTCCGTCCCAGTCTCAAATCTTTGGAAGACTGAAACAGGTTTCCATCAAGAATTTCCCTGTATTTAGCGGCATCCATCATTCCTCCAATTCTGACCAGTTTCCCAGTCCTGCCGATGAAAAACATCCCCACAGCATGATGCTGCCACCACCATGCTTCACTGTGGGGATGGTGTTCTGGGGGTGATGAGAGGTGTTGGGTTTGCGCCAGACATAGCGTTTTCCTTGATGGCCAAAAAGCTAAATTTTAGTCTAATCTGACCAGAGTACCTTCTTCCATATGTTTGGGGAGTCTCCCACATGCCTTTTGGCGAACACCAAATGTGTATGCTTATTTTTTTCTTTAAGCAATGGCTTTTTTTTGGCCACTCTTCCGTAAAGCCCAGCTCTGTGGAGTGTACGGCTTAAAGTGGTCCTATTGACAGAAACTACAATCTCCACTGTGGAGCTTTGCAGCTCCTTCAGGGTTATCTTTGGTCTCTTTGTTGCCTCTCTGATTAATGCCCTCCTTGCCTGGCCCGTGAGTTTTGGTGTGTGGCCCTCTCTTGGCAGGTTTGTTGTGGTGCCATATTCTTAAAATTTTTTAATAATGGATTTTAATGGTGCTCCGTGGGATGTTCAAAGTTTCTGATATTGTTTTATAACCCAACCCTGATCTTTACTTCTCCACAACTTTGTCCCTGACCTACTGTACTGGTGCGCCCCCGCCTGTCCTAGCTTAAAAACGGACCACTAGATGTATAAAGAGGGGTTCCTGCAGATGCAGGAATGTCCAAATACAGGAACGCCCCAAATTGCAGGCCACAATTGCACCCTTCTCATTTTTTTCACCCAACTTTAACCTAAATCCAATATCATAGTGAATTTGTTTCTTGATTTCACGTTGAATTCAGTTAACTCAACCAAATGTAAATCAAAAATAGACATTGAACTGACATCTGTGCCCAGTGGGGTGTTAACAAGTGCAATTCACTATGGATGAGGCCACAGTCATGCAGTCTCACAGCACAAAATGATCCCACCCGATCTTTTCAGTCACACCAGGATTCGACCTAGAAACCCTCTTGTTCTTTTAGGGCCTTACTATATGGGCGCCAAATACACGCCAATTGCCAAATGCTTTTGGGAATTTGGGCAGAAAAGTTAACATTGATCTACTGAGGCAAAAAAGAAAATGTCAGAGTTTAATTCAATAAGAGAAAATCTGCGAAATGGAGAGTTGAAAAGAAAGAGAAGGGAGGGCCAGAACAGTACCCTAATGTTTGGGAAATATGTTATGTGTGATGATTGTGAGCCACTATACAAATTCGACAGTCACAAGACGGGGACTTCAAATATGGCATGTCAAGGGAACTACGCTAGGCTACTGTTCAGATGGGTTAAATGGAACAGTAAATGAAATCTGGACGCTGACTGTAGGTCTATAACCTCTCACATAGCCTAATATAATATTAACTCTTGCAGAATTAAGCAGTTCTTGGACAAATGATACACCAAATGTACATTTTGGGAACAGGAGTGGAGAAATGTGGCAGGGCCTATCTTTATTAGCATCATAACAGCCGATAGTAGGCTATTTCAACCACATAAAATATGCATAGTTTTCACAGCTTTTAATTCCCTTAAAACTGGTCAAACTGATCTCATTTGGAAATTTTGCATGAAAGATCTTTCCCGTTTTTTTTTTGTTGAGCTATGGCATGTTCTCCCCGGTCCCTAAACGTCTTTGCTGCTCAATATCACTTAGATTAAAGCATTCTATCGATGTTTGCCATATTTTCTGGTGAGCAAGGGTTTAGGCTATTTAGTATTCTAGGGCAACAAGTAATGACAGAAGAGCTGAATGTATCTAATTATAGACAAGTTGCCTAACATAGCCTACCAACATTTCGTAAATTGTAAGCAGGAACATAGGCCTATCTAAATAAGGCTTTAAAAAAATCCTGGACCCCATGTCAAAATAATTTTCTGTCATCTCTGACTGTACAGCACATTTTATATATTTGCATGTTAGGGTCGGGTGCAGGTCTCAGATTTTCACTTAATCACATATAGTCGGCCCGTTGTGGATGGGTTATGAACAACTGACCCGCACATCACTAACACGCATACACACACTGATAACCATACTTTTAAATTGGGTCAGCCTACTGTCTGATATGGTGTCCTAAAAAAAAAACTCACCATTCATTTCACCTCCACAATATTATAATTTTTGTAATTAGAGACGCTTGATTCACAGAGATATGTGTAGAAATGTGTCAGGGACTGTTGTACTTGGTTGTGACTGTGAGGTGTGCTCTGTGTAAGAAAGACAGTGATTTCTTTTTTTTATAAACGCCTGCTCAGAAGTAATAGGCATTATCCTGTCTTAAAGCCACAAGTGAAAACTATTTGAGGACACTAAGTCAAATAAGTGAATATATAAATTGAATACACCAACAGATGACTTCTATTTATATACAACGCCAAGAAACTTGTATGCCTGCTATTTTGTTTTGCTTAGGAACATCCACAGACAGGATCATATATTTTTTTTTTGGGATTTTGCTGACACCTAGTGGTTGATTTTGCATATTGCTTTGCAGCGACTGAACTGCGAAGTGAAGTGATTGGTTGAAGACCTCCACGCTGATTTGCTAGAAACCGTTTTTTCCCCAATCCCGATTTGACCATTTTACTCGTGGTTCCTCGTATGCCGGCGACGGGAAGTTGTGATTCTTTACATGGGTTGGTGTTTTGCACTAGTTTGGCCAAATAAAGATTAAATACATTGTATTTACTTCGCAGAGGAACGTTTCAGCCTCTTTCTGTCCCAGAGTAACACATCACGGACTCTACAGGCTGGAGAGCAAGAGCTACTCTGAAAGGCAAAGTGGTCTGTTTCAGGGACTAAGACCTCCAACAGAAAATCAGACCTGTTGCTGAAGAAGTACAGTTCACCTACATACCAGGTGAAGATGAGATAGCTACGTAATTTATCCTGCTACTGTTGCATTATTGCTACTGGTGTTGCATACAAGTGAATCGATTCATGCAAGTACACAAGTTCAAAGTGTGTGTGTGTGTGTGTGTGTGTGTGTGTGTGTGAGTGAGTGAGTGAGTGTGAGTGTGTACAAAATGTGTAGTCAACTTGCTGATGAATGTCTGTCGGGATAAGAGCGTCTGCTAAATGACTAAAATGTAAATGTAAATTTTCTGTCTCTTCAGTTGATGCAGAGATTGTATCAACTGATGCTAGCAACAAAGCCCCACCAAATGGGGACTGGTCGTGGGCATAACGTTCATCAAGATATGCTTATATCCCCTACCCTTCTCCTAGTGAATGCATTTGGACACATATCCTACACATACACATATCCTCCATGGGGCGTATTCATTAGGCCACTGAAAAAAACATGACCCTGATCACTTATCTCTCTCTCTTTGGTAGATGAAAGTGTATTCATCCATCACTGTATCCATAACACTTGTCTTCACTCCTTTCCCCCCCTGGACTCTGGTGACAAAGCCACCCTGTTCCTCAACATCTACTGTGACTACGAGCCAGGGTCAGAGTTCAACCTGGAGTTCATTGCACGTGAGTCATCTGTCACCTGCTGCAGCTGAATCACATAGAAGTTAACACACAATTCCCTTCTGGTATTCACATAGTTGTACAGGGTTGTGTTAATTAAAAACACTGTAGTAAAGTGTTTCAAAACGTTATACGACAGAAAACAAAAAAGAGAGTTTCTTATTGGACAGTTCAGATAGTACCTCCTCATTTCACTCTGTTATGTTAGTTTTCTTCTGTTTCGTGCCTAGTGAACATGAACCTGATTTTAGCCAATTGCTTTGTCTTCTTCTTAGAGAGCTGCCTGAACCTGGAGCTGCAGTTCACCCCCTTCCAGCTTTACCACACAGAGTAAGTACTGTACACACTACAGTGGGCCCTTATCTAACTGGCCTATACAACTTTACAGGTTAAACATAAACATAGTTCATACTTCTTTGACTCCTTTCAAGGCCTACCACACATTTTAGGTGCACAATGCATGCATGAACGACCCAATGTATGAGTTTAGATGATACAATTTAATGTATAAAAAAGCCTGGCATGACGATATCATGTTTATCACTTCTTTACATTGTTAATGACATGAATAACAACAGCATATCACTGTTCCAGAATGCAGTGTGGAGATGGATGCAGTGAGACAGTGTTTCTGCTCAGTGGTCATGACCAGAGGATTCATCTTTACAAGGAGGTAAGCCTGTGTGTGTGTACACTGAGTTTTGTAATGTTTGGTGTGGGAGACTAGTAAACATCTCTTCTCTCCAATAGAACTCTTCCCTTCACCAGTTTGAAGAGCAGCCAGTGGAGAGACTCATCCCTGAGCTGAAAGACCTGCCCAGCAAGTTAGTTTGTGTTCCCTCTGTCTGATGTTCCCTCCAAGTTGTGTGTGTGTGTGTAATCACTATTCCCTCTCTCTGCAGTGTGTTGTTGCTGGATGTGCTGAGTATCGAGGCGGTGGTCGTCTCTCAGCGTTTGGCTGTCAGAACGGCTGCGTAGGTCTGGCTCTGGTGAACCAGATTGGACCTGGTGAGGATGGCCTATACACAACATACAAACTACCCCATCTTAGATTGCGCCCCAACTAGTACTTTATTCCCTATTTAGTGCTTTACTTTTGACCAGGGTCCATAGGGCTTTGGTTAAAAGTAGTGCACTATATAGGGTATAGGGTGCCATTTGCGAACTAACCTGACAGTGGCCACCGTGCTCACTCTCTCTTACTATGACTATACATAGCCAACAAAGTAACAAAGGGGGTACTTTGAGTGAACTATCCCTTTAACCAAAAAAAGCAAGGCTGGATGTTTAGCTACATCACTTTGGAATGCATTGAATTCCTGTGTTTTCGTTTTTTAAATTGCGTCCGCGCGGATTAGAGGTTGTGTAGAGTTGGCGAGTGCAGCAGGTCATTCCCATCTCCACCGCGCTGCTCATCCCTCTGCATTCCAGGGCAGAGCTGGCGGACCCCGACAGGGTCGGAGAGGGGGAGTGTACGGTATGTATGAGCAGCACCACTATGACCTTTGACCTCTGGATATGGTTGCGCCAAAATGGCAAGGAATATTTGGGACACAACCTATGATTTGCGGATGCATTTCCTTCCAAAACTCTGGACGTGTTTGAGAGTGTCACTTCTTCTGCTCAGTCGCTGATCACTGACTGACTGAGCAGATCGACTGATATACAAGTAATAACGAGTAGTTATTTAGGATGCAATGCGATTTGTAGATCCCTGTTTCTGCACAGTCCGACTGCAATCGATCTCAAACACGCACTTGGTTAACTCCCCCGTCTGACATTATTAGATGGCAGGAGAGAGCATTTGTTCAGAACCTCTCCCTAGCCTACCATTGGGCTAGGTGGAGCAATTGGTATATTGCACATTACATTTACATTACTTAGCAGACGCTCTTATCCAGAGCGACTTACAAATTGGTGCATTCACCTTATGATAGCCAATGGGACAACCACTTTACAATTTATTTTTTTGAGTATATTTTTTATTTTCATTTGTTTTATATATATATATATATACAGTGGGGAGAACAAGTATTTGATACACTGCCGATTTTGCAGGTTTTCCTACTTACAAAGCATGTAGAGGTCTGTTATTTTTATCATAGGTACACTTCAACTGTGAGAGACGGAATCTAAAACAAAAATCCAGAAAATCACATTGTATGATTATTAAGTAATTAATTTGCATTTTATTGCATGACATAAGTATTTGATCACCTACCAACCAGTAAGAAGTTCGGCTCTCACAGACCTGTTAGTTTTTCTTTAAGAAGCCCTCCTGTTCTCCACTTATTACCTGTATTAACTGCACCTGTTTGAACTCGTTACCTGTATAAAAGACACCTGACCACACACTCAATCAAACAGACTCCAACCTCTCCACAATGGCCAAGACCAGAGAGCTGTGTAAGGACATCAGGGATAAAATTGTAGACCTGCACAAGGCTGGGATGGGCTACAGGACAATAGGCAAGCAGCTTGGTGAGAAGGCAACAACTGTTGGCGCAATTATTAGAAAATGGAAGAAGTTCAAGATGACAGTCAATCACCCTCGGTCTGGGGCTCAATGCAAGATCTCACCTTGTGGGGCATTGTTGTGTCAATTCCTGACTACAAGCTATACCGAGCACTCAAGCCTAAATCCACCCAGGGTGCTCAAAGCACTCCCAACCTGCAGGGGGCAACCATGCAACCGGAGCTGTTGAAACCAACCACCAGGAAGTGCTCTGGGGACCATATTAACCTGCGCACCCACAAGCAGTGCGTGTGCATGGCATCGAAATGGTTGGTAAAAGCTTACTTGGCTCTCACTCATTCCTGAGAAGAGATACCAATGACCACAGCTCCTGATCATCCAAAGACGCAACTGGTAGGACAGAATGTGTTGTGAATTCATGCTTCTATATGCCCTTTTGTTTGGTTGTAACATACAATACAATTATTAATTAAATTAAATAGTGAAGACTTCATTATGTGAACGTAGAACTTGACAGTAACGTTACTATAATCATGTGTATTGTTAAATGTTTAATTATGATATTGATATTTAATTATTAACTTGCAATGATCCTAGGTTAATCTAAATGATGAAATGATTGTTTGGTTAGGTTTGAGGATTCAGTAACATTAGTTTATGCTTATTTTTGAGAAAGTGGAATTGAGAGTTATTTGTAACTAATCCATGGTTTTTTGTTTGTGTGGTTTGAAGGTTATCAACCTATTCTGTTCCATCTTTATGACAATAAAAAATCATAAAGTGAACAGTTTTGAGTTGTCCTTTGCGTTCATCAAGGATAAAGCCGTTTTCAAGTTTGGGCAGAGCTGTGGTCAGCCAGAAATCACGCAGAACTTGACAGTTGATAACCAGCGCGGCAGTGAAGACGAGGATCAAAGGGCTGAAGTCAAGCTGTCGACGCAAAGGAAGAATTGCCTGTGAAACTCTACACCATGGCCAAGGAAACTTTTGGGAAAACAGTCAAGCAACTGAAGCAAGAGCGGACCTTAGCCAAATCTGCTTTCACCAGACAAGCGAACTACCTGAGTAAAGCTGCAGCTGGTATGATTAAGCATGAACTACAAGAGGAGTTCAGCAAGCTCAGTTCCCTGGCTAGAAGTGTCGGTGATTCAAATGATGACTACGCGGCTGGCCTACTGGCTGAAGCGGGAACTAAGGGAGATGAAGAGGTCAAGCTCGACAAGGACCAGCATGCTGATCTTGAAAGGACGATTGAAGAGTGCGACATGAAATTGGAGGAAATCCGAGAGGCAGTCCAATTCAACCTCTGGCCAAGATACGGTAAAGAGGAGGTAGACTTTGCAATCCAAGAAGCGGAGAAAGCCTGTGACAGAGCCAAAGAAACCCCCGTCACTGCTATTAACAGGGACGGCTATGAACTACAGCTGGAAAGAGCGAGGAAGCTAATCCATGATGCAAGTGAAAGCCTGAAAGACTGGGAAAAATGGGTCCCACACGATGAGACTGCAGATCTGAAAGGCAGAGTAAAAGATCTGAGAATATTCGGCAGTAACCTCGAGGCCAAAAGAACAGAATTCCTCATCGCACAGAGAATTGCAGAAGAGGACAGAAGACCTACAGAGCTTCAACCAAGAGCAGTCCCACAACCAGTGGTGAGAATAAAACCAACCAGTCTACCTAAATTCACTGGGCTTAGGAGGAATTTCCACAGATGGAGGAAAGACTGGGAGAGCCTGCAAAAGCAGGGAGAGCCGACTGGTTCAGTGGAGGTGAAGAAGTTTCAACTTCTTGACAGTGTGGACGAGAGAATATGTAGAGACCTGCGCCTGTCATCATATAACAGTGCTGAAGACATGTTTAGAGTACTCCAAAACCGGTATGGAAACAAGCCAACAATTGCTTTGGAGATAATTGAGGACCTGGAGAGGATCCCTCCTTTAAAGTCACACCAACCAAGGAAGGTTATTGACCTGATTCAAGCTGTGGAAAAGGCCCTGAATGACCTCACGGAGCTCGAAAGCAGTGGAGCCATAAAGAATCCCCTTGTCATCAGATCCATAGAGAGCAAGCTGCCGGATAACATGAAGAGGGACTGGCTGACATTCATGGTCAACCCAAGAAATGGAGTCACACCGGACAATCACTTCGACAGCCTTCTAAGATTTTTAAAGACACAAGAGGACATACTGGAGAAACTAGACCAGTTGGGTGTAAGTGAAAACCCTGAAAAGAAAGCTACGTACCCGGAGAAGCGGTATGCTTCCACAAGGTCCACGAGAAAGGGAGGATGCGTTGTGTGTGGAGATGAAAAGCACCGTGAGAAGATTTTCTTTTGTAAGCAGTTCAAAGAACTAAAATCTAGTGAGAAGCTGAATGCTGTCGAAAGACTGGGAGCATGCAGAAGATGCCTCAGATGTCATGGAGAGGATGAGGAATGTACGGACACTTACCTTTGCAGAAACAGAGACTGCAAAAGAGGAAGCTCCTCGGATCACCATTTCTTTCTCTGCCTTAAAGGAGGGGCTAAGAGGAAAGAATACGTGAAAGTGGAAAAACCCAGCACCAGGAGGCAAACATTCACAGAGGAGCAAGAGAGATTAATACGTGAGCTCACCCCGGACGTGGCAGAAAAATTCAGGAATGCTTTCACCAACATGGCAAAATCACACTGCACTGGAGGAAGCCTTCCTGGGGTAATGGACTCAAGCACACGTGAATGACCAGTTATTCTTATGCTTCTCGAAGTAACTACTAACGCAGGGCAGAAAATTGGAACTCTCATTGACTTAGCATCAGACACCAACTACATCACTCACACAGCCGCCAGGAGACTGAAGCTTCGAAGTGAAAGGATCACACTAGTCGTCCATGGAGTTGGAGGCATGGCCATGAAGGTGAAGACCAAAAGATACTTACTCAAGGTGAGAGTCAAGACACCAAGAGGCACGGAGAAAGCTCATGAGCTGATCTGTTATGGGTTGGATGAGATTGCAAAAGTTCACAGAGCAATCAAAGCACAACACCTCAAGAAGTTCTTCCCCGATACCAACCTGGAAGACCTTCACAGACCAGAACATGTTGAGCTTCTCATAAGCCACCGGGAAGGAAGACTTGCTCCACAGAGAGTAAAGGTAGTAGGAGATCTTGTCCTGTGGGAGAGCCCTTTAGGAAAGACCGTTGGAGGAGCACATCCAGACCTCTGTGAAGTAGTGGACATGGCCCTGCACAATTCTGAAACTCATTTTGCACGATCTATGAGAATCACAGCAGTAAAGTATCAAGAAATTGCTGAGATGCAAGAATCTAGAGCTGAAACTAAAACCACTGTTATTGGCAAAGAGTTCTTGGACTGGTGGAAGTGGGACAGCATTGGTGCGGCCTGTGAACCCATGTGTGGAGGATGTCGTTGTGGTAACTGTCAACCAGGCGGCAAAGACATGACTCTTAGTGAAGAAAGAGAGCTTGAGATAATCAGGCAAGGTCTCAGTTACGTGGAGTCAGATGTGCATAGTCAGGAGCCTCACTGGGACACAAAATACCCTTGGATTGAAGATCCAAGTTCCCTGCCCAACAACAGAAGCGCAGTGGAAGCCACGTTTCTGAGGACGGAGAAACAACTCAAGAGAGAACCAGATTGGCGTGCAGCATACACAACTCAAGTTCATGAGATGGTGGAAAGGAAGGCAGCAAAGAAACTCACTAGAAAGACCATTGCCGACTGGAAAGGTCCAGTATGGTACGTCAGTCACTTGATAGCACCAAACCCACACTCTATAACTACACCTGTCCGACTGGTATGGAACAGCAGCCAGAGGTTTAGAGGAAGCAGCATGAATGACCTTCTTCTGAAAGGGCCTGATGTACTTAATCCTATTCGAGCGGTACTGCTAAGGTTCAGGAGAGGAATCCATGCTGCTCTCGGCGACATCAAAAATATGTACAATTCTGTGTGGCTCGAAGACCTGGAGATGCACCTCCATAGATTCCTCTGGAGAGACGGT